AAAAACCCCCAAAAAAAAAAAAAAAAACCCCCCCAAAAAAAAAAAAAAAAAAAAAAAAAAAGAGAAAGCAAACCGCCAGATCCAGGACTCGAACCACAGTTGGCTATGTGGGAGTCCAGCGCCCTTAACCACCACACCACCTGCCGGCTCTGCACCAGTGTGAGTTTTAAACTGCCAAGTCCAGGCCTTGAACGGCAATTAACTATACAAGAATCCAGTGACATAACCATTATGACACCTGCTGGACCCAATAATTCTTTTTTTTAACAGGTTTTACCTTAGGATATGTGCACTCACCAGAGAGAGAGATACAGTGAGAGGAAAAGTGAGAAATCACACCCTAAGGAGAATGGCCATGCTGCAATCCCTTCTCCTCCATTCTACTCCTAGGATCTTGGGCACACATACATATGTGCCCAGTGTGATTTCAAGTCACCAGGTCCAGATCTTCAACAGTGATTGGCCACATGTGAGTCCAATGACATAACTGCTATGCCATCTGCTGACCCGAATAAGTAATTCTTTTTAAAGAAGTTTTTAAACTTTTTTTAAGAATTATTTTAACTTTATTAATTAATTAATTTATTTTTAATTTGACCAGAGAGGGACAGAGAGAGAGACAAAGAGAGAAAGGAAGCCACCAGGGCTGGGACCTGAACCACGATCAGCCATATGAGAGTCCAGCGTCCTTAACCACTATGCCACCTGCTGGCTTGTCAAACACGTTTTTAATAAAAATAAAACATAAACATGGAATGTGACTGTAGTTAAAATCATTTAAATCATTTTTTTCTAAAGATTCTAAATGTTAAATTTACGTTCTTACCCTCTTCTCTGTGCATCAACCCAGGCTTGATCTCTGTTATCTTTTTCAGGATCATATAGTAATTCATCGTTTGTTGGAATCCTGTGTCGTTTCTTCTTTTTTTTCTTGTCTGCCTGTGCTATTTTGAAAATATTAAGCAGAAGATTAAGTACCATGTGTAAAGGCCACACTTTTTTAAAATAATTATTTGATTTAAATTTATTTATTTATTTTAATTTGACTAGAGAGAGACAGAGAGAGAGACAGAGGGAAAGTGAGAAAGCAAGTCACCAGGTCTGGGACTCAAACCATGGGTTGGCCATGTGGGTGTCTAGTGCCCTTAACCACCACGCCACCTGCAGGCCCCAGCTCACACATTTTTAATAGAGAATGAAGAATCCTTGATTCCCCAAGGTACAAAGGGTCTTCAGAAAGTTCATGAAATACATACTATGAAAATAACTATGCATAAGGGACCAGGAGTTGGCATAATGGCTATGTCGCTGGACTCCCATGTAATCGACCGCAGTTTGAGTTCCAGACCCAGTGGCTTAAACTCAAATCGGGCATGTATGTGTGTGTGTGTGTGTCCAAGATCCCTAGAGGAGAATGGAGGAGAAGGGATTGTGGCATGGCCATACCCCCAGGGAATGATTTCTCACTTTCTCTCTCTCTCTCTTTCTGGTGAGCACACGCTCCCTATAGCAAAAACCTCTCCAAAAAAAACTATGCATGATTTTCAAACATTTTTTGAAGCAAAATAAACTCATACTTTAATTCCATTTTTCTATGAACTTTTTGAAGTCACATTCCATGTATTTGTTTTATTTACATTTTCCTAAAAAAATGTATTAGCCATTCCCCCAAATAAAATTGTTGCTCAATTAACAAGGCACTAAAATAAAGATGATAAAAGAGGCAAGAAACTATTTCTTCACCAAAAACTAGTATCTCAAGAATTACATTCAAATAATGAGAATTCGAAGTCTCAAAAAGGCCATTCAGAACAACCTAAGAAAATAGAAACTACTTGAGCCCAGCAGGTAGCATGATGGTTAAAGCGCTGGAATTCTCATGTGGCCAAACGCAGTTTAAGTACTGGATCTGGTAGCTTGCTTTCTAACACTCTCTCTCTCTCTCTGGAGGCTTGCTTCCTACTCCCCCTCTTCCCCTGCCTCTCTCTCTCTGCCTTTCTCTGGCAAAACTCATGTGAAAAAAAATTATATAAATAAATAAAATAATTCTTTAAAAAAATAGAAACTACTTTTGATGTATTATTTCTCCAAGAGTTTCCATATAAGGCCAGCAGGTGGTATGGTGGTTAAGGTTCTGGACTCCCACATAGTCAATCACGGTTCGAGTCTAGGCCCTAGTACCTTGTTTTCTCACTTTCCCTCTCTGTCTGTCTCTGGTCAAATTAAAAAATAATAATAATAATAAATAAAATTAGGGACCAGCAGACAGCGTAATGGCTATGTCACTGGACTCCCATGTAGCCAACTGCGGTTCAAGTCCTGGAAATGGTGGTTTAAACCCATGCCTAGCACATGTGCGTGCGTGCCCAAGATTCCAAGAGGAAACTGGAGAAAAAGGGATTGCAGCGTGGTCATTCCGGGGGCGGCTCTCCAAAATAAATTAATTAATTAATTTAATTAAATAATTATTTTTTTAAAAAGTTCCCATATATCAAATGCTCCTAAAATCAGAACAAAAATATTTCAAAAACAAGTGGAAAAAACCACAGCATTCACATAGACTAAACTATTAAAAATGTATTCTAATCTCACAGAGCTCCAGCTAAAGAAGCAGGGGTAAATGAGGAGGTTCCTATACCAGGGCTCATACAAAGCAGATAGTCTGCAAATCTACACATGGTAAAGCACCCAGGAAGTAACTGGCTACAAAAACCGCTCAAGAGTGCGCCCTCTACTGGACGGGTGAAGAAACCTCGTTACAGGTTCAGTACTGTGGCACCACACCGCTGGCTTGCCCCCCCAGATTATCTTATTAATCAATCTTGCTTTTGTTTTCACTTTCACAGTCCACAACTTCTTTCTCTGTTTTTTTTTTTTTTTTTTTAAAGGTTTTTCACCAGAGAGAGAAAGACAGTCAGAGGGAAAGTGACAAATCACTTCCCAGGAGGGATGGCCACCCACAATCCCTTCTCCATTCTCCTCCTGGGGTTTTGAGCATGCACACACATGCACTCAGCGTGATTTTCAAGCCACCAGGTCCAGGACTCCAACCACGGTCAGTGTTGTGTGGGTCCAGCAATGTAACCACTATGCTATCTGCTGACCCCACAGTCTGCAATTTCTTAAAAGATAAAACTCTGAGGAAAATCCTGATATTAAATACAGTCATGCACCACTTGACAACAGGGATTCATTCTGAGAAATACATCATGAGAACCAGCAGTTAGCGTAATGGCTGTTGCTGGACTCCCACGTAGTTGACCGCGGTTCGTGTCCTGGACCCAGTGGCTTAAAACTCACACCAGGCGCATGTGCGTGTGTGCCCAAGATCCCGAGAGGAGAATGGAGGAGAAGGGATTGCAGCATGACCATCCCCTCTGGGGGGTGATTTCTTGCCTTCTGTCTCTATGTCTCTCTCTGTCTGTCTGGCAAGCGCACGTGCCCTACAGCAAAAACCTCTCCAAAAATAAATAAATAAATAAAATTTAAAAAAATACATCATTATACAATTTCACTGTTGGGTAAACACCATAAAGTAACTATACAACCTAGATGTTATTGCACCCTACACAAGTAGGTTACATTGTACAGCCTACTATAATTTTTTTTTAATTTACATTACTCATGATAGACAGCATGCATGTACACAAGGGAAGGGGAGGGAAGCACCTTTGACAGGCTCTAGCCACACAGTACCCCAGTTTTCCAGTTCATCAGAATATTGGGCATGTGTACCCAGATTGTGTACAAGCTGCCTCAGGAATCTGAATCCATAATTGGCTGTGTGGCTTTCAGCACTGCCATTTGGTTTACTACCAACTGTGCCACTCAACTGGGCCCTTTATAATGTTACTACTGGCCAAAACGTCCTTATGTGGTACATGACTGTAATTGTTAGATAAATTTTTTCCATAAACTATAACTGCTAAATCTGGTAAGTATGTTACTTACCGGCTTTTTCTTCATCCTCAGAATCAGAATCAAAATATATATCATCATAGTACTTTGTTGGAGCTGTTCCGACTTTCCCATTTCCTGAGGAAGATCCTAATACGAGAAGTGAAGTTAGCTGAGTAAACAATACCTAATTCATAAGGGGAAAAAACCTCCATATATTTATCTATCACCTCAAAGTAATACCAACTCATTCATAATCTCCTTTGGATGGAAAAATATTTCACCATCAATGACTTACATGATTTCTATGCTTTCTGCATTTAAAGACACCTGGCCCTCATGATTAAGAGTTCCAAATGGGACCAGCAGTTAGCGTAATGGCTATGTCGCTGGACTCCCATGTAGTCGATTGTGGTTCATGTCCCGGACCTGGTGGCTTAAAACTCACGCTGGGCGCGTGTGCATGTGTGCCCAAGGTCCCAAGAGAAGAATGGAGGCGAAGGGATTGTGGCATGGCCATCCCCCCTGGGGGGTGATTTCTCGCTTTCTGTCTCTGTCTCTTTCTGTCTTTCTGGTGAGCATGCATGCCCTATAGCAAAATCCTCTCAAAAAAAAAGAGTTCCAAATGATGGGACCAGCAGACAGTGTAATGGCTACATCGCTGGACTCCCATGTAGTGGACCATGGTTCCAGTACGGACCTGGTGGCTTAAACTCATGCCAGGCGCATGTGCATGCGTGCCCAAGATTCTGAGAGGAGAATGGAGGAAAAGAGATTGCGGCATGGCCATTCCCCCAGGAGGTGATTTCTTGCTTTCTGTCTGTCTCTCTTTGTCTTTCTGGTGAGTGCACAGCAAAAGCCTCTCCAAAAAAAAAAGAGTTCCAAATGATGAGACAATTATTGTCTTTCCCTCCCTACAAATCTTTTTTTTTTTTTTTTGGTAGAGGTTTTTGCCTTAGGGTGCCTGCCCTCACCAGCGAGGG